GGCACCACCAACCTGCAAAGAAACAGAAGGAGCTGTTTGCAGGTTGAGTGAGTTCCTCTCCTGGCTCCTCTTGAAGGAGACTCCCAGCTCTCTTTCCACTCCTGGTAATAACTAGGTCACACCTGGTGATGGCTCACAGAAGCTCTGGCTTTTTCTTAGCACTCTCCATGCTAGTTCTCAATCTGTGACTCCGATTCCAGTCCCAACCAATTTCTTGGGTCCACGATGATTCTTGGGCTGGGTTTTGCTCAGTCAATGGAAGGGGCGCAGCTTGAGGTTTGGAAATCTGAAGTGCAGGGTTTTCTGCAATCCCAGGCTGAGGTTTGTCATGATACCATTCCTAAAATGCCCCCTTGGGGGCACCAGTGAGCAAGCAGGAGGTGCTAAGAGCTCTGCTCCAGTGTCTGTGCTGCGCAAGACGCAGATCACATTTTTTGCAGAGTGTCAGTTTGTGTGCCTGTGGGATTTCCTGAGGAGGCTTTCCTTTTTTCTTTTCCTCAGCCCCACTGAGGGAGGGTTCTCCCTTCCCTACTGTTTTGCATAGCACTCTATGTTAGGGTTCTTTGTTTCTTTAACAACTCTGAAGTTCAGTATTTCTGGATTTCCTCTGGTCTCTACTGTTCCTTGCTGTCTTCCCTTGCTTTTCCCCTCCACCTCCACCTTCTCCCTACAACCACACACTTGGAGTTTGGTTTCAAATTCATGAAGACACGGGAAAATAATGAGTGTGTCTACTCTGCAGTCCTGTGGGACCAACCAGTTGTTGTGTTTTGCTTTATTTTTGCTGTCCTAAGGATTGAACTTGGGGCCTTTGCTCTGTCATGTGAGCCATGCCCCTGCTCCTTTTGTTTTACTCAGGGCCTCATGCTTGTTGGGCATATGACTGACCACTTGAGCCACATCCCCAGCCTTTTTTGCTTTGGTTATTTTTAATATAGGTCTCACATTTTTTGCCTGTGCCAGCCTGGACCTTAATCCTCCTACTTATATTTCCTACGTAGCTAGGATGGCAGGCCCATGACACCATGTCCAGCTTGTCTGATTGTTAAGACAGGTCTTGCTAACTTTTTGCTTAGGCTGGACTCAAACCTCAATCCTCCAAATCTCCCAGTTCTGACTAGCTATGATTTGAGGCATGGTATTTTAGTTTTGAGATAGGGTCTCACTAACTTTACACAGGCTGGCCTTGAACCCAATCCTGCCTCTACCTCCCAAGAAGCTGGAGTTAAATGTATACGCACCACACTCAGCCTTCAGTTGTTTTTAATCAAGGTATCGCCTATCCCTTTAATAGTTTTATTTCACTGAAAGCTGCTATCCTGGATATTTTGTTTATTGTTTCTGTATTTGGACATGGGACCTTTTACCTGCTATTTTTCTTTGTCTTCTTTGCTGAAGACTCCGTGCAGCCTTAGAAATTGTGCCAGGCTTGCCAGCAGTAGTAAGTGCAGTGGTCTCTGCCCTACAGGTGGTTAAGTATCAGCTGTACCCATCACTGAAATCCATGTTGGGGTCTAAAAAAGCCTGCCTGCGTTCTTAAGCCTCAAGAAGAAATGCTCTCCCACTTATTGAACCACCCTGTTGAGGTCCTCAGATTCACGTTCAAGTTCTGCAGATGCTCATCTACTTATGATGGGGTTATGTCCTGATAAACACATGGTGAGTTGAAAATGTTGAAAGTCAAAAGTGCATCTATGGCAGGTGTGATGGTGCATGCCTATAATCGAAGGAAGGTTGACAGTTTGAGGCCAGCCTGGGTAACATAGTGAGACTCTGCCTCCAAAAAAAAAAAAAGTGCATTTAATACACGTAATTCTACCAAACATGAGAGCTTAACCTATCCTAAGTGTGCTGAGAACACTTACATTAGCCTCCTGTTGAACAGAATCATGTAACACAAAGCCTACTTTAAGATAAAGTGTTTTAAGTAGCTCAGGTTACACACAGATGGACACTTTGCTGCAGGGCTGGGAGTTTATTTATTTATTTATTTTTGGTACTAGGAATTGAACCCAGGGCCTCGTGTATTCTAGGCACACAACCACTGAGCTACATCTGCAGCCAAGGACTAGAGTTTGAACTCAGGGCTCACACTTGCAAAGCAGGCACTCTACCACATGAGCCACACTCCAGTCCATTTCTTTCTGGTTATTTTGGAGTTGGGCGGGGTCTCACAAACTATTTGTCTGAGCTGGCTTTGAACCGAAATCCTCCCAATCTCAGCCTCCCAAGTAGCTAGGATTATAGGCATGAGCACTGTGTCCAGCAGACAGGCAGTAGTGTTTAAAAACACAATATCCAAAAAATGCTGACAATGAAGTATACTGCAGAGCCATAGTGTAACCCTCAGGATTATGAGCTGACTGGAAACTGGTTTGCTGCTATTGTCTAGCATCAAAAGAGAATGTTACTGCATACTGCTGGGCCAGGAAAAGAGCATAATCCAACACTCAAAGCATGGTTTTTACTGAATCCACACCCTTTCACACTATCAAAGAGTTGAAAACTCCTAAATCCAACCACAGTAAGTTAGGGACTGTCTATATTTATTCTCTCTCTGGTGCTCTTTACTGATCCTCTGTCCTCTTCCCAGAGGGAAACAAAGTCATTTACAAGCTTTTCAGTCACTTCTCTTACAAGCTCAAGGTCTTTCTCATTCCTTCCTCGTCCTACCTGACTGAAACTACAGCAAAGTTTGCTGGTAGGTAGGCAGGGAGGACAGTAGGGGCAAGAGTTCCAACAGTCATCACCCAGAAAACTCCTCTGCCCTTAGAATGAGTGAAAAATATTCCAATTTGCCATCAAAATAAATGTGTTCAGCTGGGAGTGATGGTGCACACTTGTAATCCCAGCTATTCAGGAGGCCGGAAAATCTCAAATTTGAGGCTAGGCCAAGCAAAAAAACCTGAGACCCTATCTCAAAAACAAAACACAAACAAAAAGCTGGGGTGTGGCTCAAGTGGAAGAACACTTACCTAACATACACAAGGCCCTGAGTTCAGTCCCCAATATTGCAAAAAAAAAAGGAAAGAAAGAAAAAGATAAGTATTTTCAAAGAGGGTAAAGAAAAATCTGAAGAGACTTTCAAAAGGTATGAAAAAACTCCATTTGTTCACAACTACCTAAGTGACCACTATGTACAGAGCAATGGCTTGGAAACAGAAACTGGTCACCAGTACTCATCCACATGGTAAGCACTTGGAAATAGGCCACAATGATTTTCTGTTGATGTTAGTGTAATAAAGTTTTAAAATTTTAAAAGAGCAAGCTTTTTTAAAGCTGGCTCATGCCTATAATCTCAGCTGAGATCAGAAGGATTATAGTTGGAGGCCAGCCTTGGCAAACAGTTTGTAAGACACCCCCCCATCTCCAAAATAATCAGAGCAAAATGGACTGGAGGTGTGGCTCAAGTGGTAGAGCACCTGCTTTGCAAGTATGAAGTCCTGAGTTTAAACCCCAGTATCACCAAAAAAAAAAAAAAATTTTTTTAAAGAGTGAAATGAGAAAGTGATTCCCACTATGTATTCTGTTTATCATTAGACATACTTTTCAAAGAAGAAATGGCCATTTAAAAAAAAAGAAATTAAGGTCCTCATAGGTATTAAGTATATGAAAATTGTTATCTTCTTTTTCTTCCTTTAAGCTATTTTGGTATAGAAGTTCAAGTAAAAACTGAAAAGAAAGACAGGCTTCCCCTTCCTCTCATTTTTACCAGGCCTTGTTCATTTCCTTACATCTTATTCTGCACCTGGGAAACCATCAAGCTGTGTCATACCATAGCTATACATTCACACACAAAACCCAAGCATATGCATGTTCTCCTTTCAGCTGAGGGAGTTCAGGTCATCCAACAAACTCAAAATTCAGTTGAAAGTATAGAAAATGCAACTTTTTATAAAAGATGAAACCAATAAGAACAGAAGAAAGTTAAAAAAACATCTGTTAAGGCAAAGGAGAAAAAGAGAAAACAAAAAAAGTGTCAGCATGAGTAGAATTTAGCAAGGTGTCAAAGATGGAGAAAAGGTTAGGGAAGCAGAGCCTCTGTGGCCACAAGACTCTCCACGCATTCCACTGTCAGTGTCCCCACTACACCCACCAGTTGAAGAGTTAGCCCTGAAGTCCAAGTCAAAGCTGAAAGATGACTGACATGGTCCTCATGCTGCGAAATAGAAAGTTTCACTTGTTTTCCAGCAGCCAGACTGGGGTGCTTGGGGTGTTTACCAAGAGTATCAAGAACATGGCTAGGTGGAGCTCAGGGGAGAACGCCTGCCTAATGTCACAAAGACTCTGGGTTTGGGTACCAGCTCTAGTGGAAGGGGGTTGTTGTTATCAGTTGTCAAAGACAGTAACTGCAAATCTAATAAAGGATTTTTTAAAGTACATACCTGTTCTGGGCCACAAGGCATTCACAGCAATTTCACCTTTAAATTCTTCTGCCATTCCAAGCACACACATAGACATACCATACTTAGCAATGGTATAAGCTGAAAGAAATCACAAAGAATAATAATTTAACTGAGAGACAAATTCGCTTGTGAGTAGAAAAAAAACAATATCTGCCAGGCATGGTGGTACATGCCTGTAATTCCTGCACTCCAAAGCTGGAGGAAGGAGACTCTCTAGTTCAAGGCCAACCTGGGCTACATGGTGAGACCCTGTCTGAAAAAAAAAAAGAAGAAAAGAAATAACCAATTTTTTGTTACTATTTTCTTCCTGATATATTTGTGAGAAGTCTTTTCAATAATATAAAATAAAATTTTTCAAATGCGCTGCTTTTTAAAGAATAATCTTAAATAATTAAATAGAGATGAATCAGTTTTGTATTATTTCCACCTTAATATTTGAATAAAAGGAAAAAATAATAAAATTTTCCTTTTTTTAATACTTTTGGAAATCAAGTATTGTTTGGGTTTTCTGTTTTTTGGTAGGACTGGAGTTTGAACTCAGGGCTTTGTGCTTGCAAAGCAGGCACTCTACAGGCTTGAGTCACACCACCAGTCCATTTTGTTCTGGTTATTTTGGAGATAGGGTTTTGGGAACTATTTGCCTGGACTGGACTTGAACCTCCCAAGCGAGTCATTGGCACCCAGCTTAAACTACAGGATTTTTTTGTGTTTGTTTCCTTTTGAAGTTTGGGTTATCTCTGTGTTTTTTAGTTTTAGCATCTACTAAGGGAAGTGGGTAATTTGGACTCTGTTTGAGTACCCTTGTCACTGCCATTCTGCTTCTAATGCTTTGGAGCTGGGGATCTTTCTTGGAGGTTCAAATGTGGCTGCCTTTGTTGGGCCAGAGATTGCCTGTGAAAGAGAACCAATGCCCTTTGTTCTACTGGGATTCAGTCCCAGTAAGCAAAAGGTTACCAGGCAAAGGCTTAGGGCGATCTTATGAATTACATTTAAAAATCACTTTAATATCTAATATATACTACCTTTTCTTTTTGGCTGTACTGGAATTTGAACTCAGGGCTTCACACTTGTTAGGCAGGTGCTCTACCACATAAATCACTCCACCAACCCTTTTTTGGTTGGGTATTTTTTGAAACAGGGTCTCTCAAACTATTTGCCCAGGTTGGCTTCAAACCACAATCCTCCTCATCTCTGCCTCCTAAGTTGCTAGGATTACAGGCGTGAGCCACTGGTACCTGGCTTAAACTACTGTTTTTAATCTGCTTTTTTTTTTTTTTTTTTTAGGAAGCCCAGGCCAGTGTGTGGCTCAGTGGTAAAGTACATGCTTAGATGTGCAAGGTTTGGTTCCCCATCACTGCAAAAATAAAAAATAACACCAAAAGGCTGCAAATTCACTTAACCTAGTCTGTTAGGGCAGAAATGCTTTTAGTCTTGTTCTGAAGATCCACTTTCCAACTGCCTTTCTACATGTTAGTGAATTACATTAAAATAAGAACTACTTATCTGATACAATGATTTTTAAAGGAGGTACCAGTACATAAATCCAACTTTTTTTTGCCCAGACTGACCTCAAACTGCAATCCTCCCAGTCTCAGTCTCCCAAATAGTGAGCCACCAGCACCCAGCTGGTACTCTATATCTTGATTTGGGTAATGCTTATATAGGTAAAATTCATTAAACTAAACCATTAAAATTTGTGCATTTTATTGAGTAAATTACATTTAAAGTTTTTAACTTTGGATAAATGATTAGGAATCTAATTTCCAGCTGGTCATGGTGCTTCATGCTGTAATCCCAGCTACTCAGGAGGCCAAGGGAGACAAGAGGATCACGAATTCAAGGCCAGCCCAAGCAATGTTAGCAAGACCCTATCGGAAGGAAGGAAAAAAGGAATCACTTACTTTCCAAAATCAGTAAGTATACTAATTTGGCACAGAAAATTCAACACTGTGTCTAGATTTCCTTTACGTAATAAATATATAGATACATTGATTTAATTCAGAGCAAATCAACCAGACAAACCATTCCATCACTCTGCCACTTACCACAGTGCTGTTTGAACCAAACTGGATTTAGGTTCAGGGGTGGGCTGAGATTGAGGATATGAGCAATTTTACTCTTTTTTAAGAAGGGAATACATGCTTTAGATCTGCAAGTGAAAGAAAACACAGGTCAAGTCAATGCCTTTCTAACAACTGCTCTACTTTTTGAAGTTATGTCAGACAGCTCTGGGTTCAAATCCTGATTCTGTCCCATCATTGTACAACCTTGGGCAAATTGTATAGTAGTCTAGTTCTCAGTTGTCTCTACTACACATGTGGGTAATTAATATCCACTACTATCTAGGATTGACCAAAGGATTAAAATGAGACAAGATACTTCAGACAGCGCATATACTGAACATGAAATACACAACTGCTATGGTTAGTGTTAGATGTGCTGAATTATTTCAGCTCAGTAGGCATAACACTGATACTAGGACCGTAATTTACTAATATAACTCTCAGTACATCCCCAAATTTAATTTGTACCAATGCAAAATACAATTTGCCCTTGGGAACAATATATAACTTTTTTAAACTTCTCATAAAATGCATAATTTATTTTATAAAAGATTCATTTTAACATTTTTAAAATTTGTAAGTATTAAGCTCCAATATCTAATAGCAAAGAAAACCATGTGACAGCTTAATTATTTCATCTTTATTTTATATTCAAGGATATCTAGGAGTATGGTTAATCCATTCTTCTTTCAAGTCAATTTTTTAACTTCCAAATGTACAATATTCATTATCAACTCCAACATGTTTTCAAGCTTAGAAACCAATACGACCAATACCACAAATACGGGGTTTTTACATATACTTTGAATTTTCATACATTGTATTTTCTTCCCAAAGGTGCCCCACTTTTATGGGGATGAAGTGAGAGGGAACAAACAATATTACAGCTCATTTTCATTAAAATAGTGAAACTGCACCTCAAAAATACCAATAGGAAACAAAAGTCTATTCCAGACATGAGACTGTACTTTGTACTCAAGAAAAGCGCTAATTTCACTTACACTATGAACACGAGCTTCCCTGGATTACCAGCGAGGGCCTCTCCATCTGCACTTTGCTAGCCTGGCCTCCAATATCCCTAATCCCACTCCGAGTGCACTTCTCACAGCAGCAATGTGTTGAAAACTCTTACCACTTAGATCCTAATACCTCAGCTACTGAGCAGAGCGACTAATGTGGTTCATGTCCACTTATAATGTAACTACGTGGGTTCTCTGTGCAAGTCCTGTGGTGCCCCCGCCTTGTCTGTGACTCACGTGAGGTAGGTGCCCCTGGTGTTGACGTTCATCATCAAGTCCACTCTCTTGGTAGGGGTTTCCAATGTGTTGGTCAAGCTAATAGCACTGGCATTATTCACCAAAATGTCAATTCCTGTTTCCAAAGTAGTCAATTTCATTTTAATACAAGTGAGACTTCATAATGCACAGAAACAGAAGCATTCACTCTATATCACTGAAGCCTAAATTGACTCACAAACATGTCTTCCTTTTAGATAATGTAATTGACCAATGTACCAATGTGAAACTCAGTAGTTTGTTCAAAACAACACCCACAGGATTTTTATGGCTATACAATCAGGAGCCAGGGCTCCCTGGAAAACTGCAGGAGGCTTAGGCCTTAGGGGGTTGCAGCTACTCGTTCTCTTACCTCCTGATCTTCTCTCCCTGCCTCCATGAACCTTAGGCCAAATTCCTCTCTAGCATGTCTCCAGGGCCCATGCTCCCTCCAAACACACCAGTCTTCCCCTTGCCCCACCAAGCCCTTTCTTAAATGGAAAGGGTTCTTAGTCTTAGGAACTGAAAAAAGAGAAAGACCTTGAGTTTCAACTCCAGACAAATGATCAAAATGCACTGATTTTGTTTTAGTGACTAATATACACACACAAAAAATCATAACAACCATAATTTCTTTCTTTCTTTTCTTTTTTTTTTTTCCGCAGTACTGGGGGTTAAACTCAGGGCCCGGCAGGCAGGTACTCTACTACTCAAAACACTCCTCTGGCCTTTTTGCATTGCTTATTTTTAAAGACAGGGTCTCGATGGCTGCCAATGGATCACGCCTGTAATCCTAGATATTCAGGAGGCAGAGATCAGGAGGATCACAGTTCAAAGCCAGTTGGGCAAATAGTTCTCAAGAACTTATCTCAAAAAAGCCCACCACAAAAAAAAGGTTGGTGGAGTGGCTCAAGCTGTAGGCCCTGAGTCAAACCCCAGTACCACACACACACACAAAAAGGTAGGGTCTCACTTCATGCTTAGGCCATCCTAGACTGTGATCCTCCTATCTGTGCTTTCCTGTGCACACCACCATGCCCACTCATTGATTGAGATGGGGTCTCATGACCTTTGAGGTATGGGTTGGCCTCAAACCACATCCTCCCAATCTCCACCTCCGAAGTAGCTAGGATTACTGACTTCAGCACTGTGCCCAGCTGAAAACTATAATTTGTGTATTCTCTATCCACATAATATGTCTTGCTTATAACTATATGCTTAGTGAAATTCAATGAAAATTATAAAATACAAAACTATATCAAACAACTCCCTTTGTTTCTGCATGATCTTCGTGATTCTTTTAAAGGGCATTTTGTGATGCTGCAAAACAGAATGAATGAACTTAATGTCACTGAATTGTGCATTTAAAATGGCTTGGAGGGTAAATTTTATGTTATATGTATTTTTACCACAATTTTTTAATTTTTATTTATTTATTTGCAGTACTGGAGTTTGAACTCGGCTTCACACTTGCTAGGTGCTCTACCACTTGAGCCACTCCGCCAGCCCTGTTTTGTGTTGGGTATTTTCCAGATAGCGTCTCTCTAACTATTTGCCTGGGCTAGCTTCAAACTTTGATCCTCCTAACCTCTGCCTACTCAGCAGCTAAGATTACAGGTGTGAGCCACCAGTGGCTACTCAATTTTTTTTAATTAAAAAAAGAAATGAGAAAAATGGAGATACATTTAATGTTTCATCAAATAGAAATATCACAGTTTCTACTTCCAGAGTTAAACAGTTTCAAGGAATATCTGTTATCCTAAGAATATTTTCATTCCCCTCTCTCAAAATATGTGTGTAATGATTTAAGCAAGGTTATTAAACTCGCTAGAATACTTTAGTCATAAGCATCCTGTCTTCCTTGACAGGAATTTACAATGTTTTGATCACATCTTCACTTGCTAATTTCCATGTCCTTCAGTAGAGTCTGTGTTGCTAACGTTTCCTTAAAATGTGTTATTAGACTAACTCTAGATTCAGCTATATTTCATTTTATACCTTCATTATAACAAAATTTAAACTTTAGTAAATCGCCTATATATTTGAGATAACTACTGCTTTCACTAGTCAAGAGGACATAGGAAAAGAATTTTTAAATCCAGGACACAGTTCTCAATACACAAACTCATCAGTAAGAGATAATCGCTACCCTACACAAGGCACTCTGCTAGGGCAGAAGAGACAAGGGAGACAATACCAAGTACAGGAGAAGCCAGGAGGGAGCAAAGCAAAGGGATGCTGGATGGATGGGTGTATATAAAACCTGTGCAGAATTACCCTTGCAAGGAAAGGAAGTCAGCAAAGACTGTTCCAATCAATGACAAATCAGACTTTACTGACTTCATCTCTCTCACAAGGGATAACAAAGGACAAGTATGTTAGCCAGGTAAACATCTGGGGCTGAAAGCAAAGAAACCAGATGCAGAGTGACAATATGCTTTTTTGGCACATGACATATCACTTAGCCATGGCAGAGAAAAGAAAAAGCATCCAATTTAAGAGGGAGGTTAAAATGTCGTTCTGAGTAATGTGATAGAATCTCAGGTCATCCCATTTCATCCTTCACAGGATCTGAACCATCCCTCTGTGCAGTATATCCACTCTGTATGCACTACCCTCCCATTAGTGACTTAGTAGCTGTCTGGATTATCAGATCAACTGCTCTGTATCACAGTGCTTGTGTACAAGTAATCCTTATTTTATTTAATAATGTCCCTAAAATACAAAGTAGTGGTGCTGGCATTTCAGATATGCCACAGAAGACGTAAAGTACTTCCTTTAAGTGATAAGGTGAAAGTTCTGCACTTAAAAGAAATACCATTATGCTGAGGTTGCTAAGATCTACAATAAGGACAAATCTTCCATCAGTGAAACTGTGAAGAAGAAAAATAAATTTGGGCTACCAGTTTGCTCAGGTGAGTTTTGCACTTTAAACTGCACGTTGCAAGAGGAAGGAAGAGACTATAGTCACATAACTTTCAATACAGTATATTATTATATCATTGTTCTATTTTACTACTTATTGTTGTTGATCTCTCAACATGCCTAATTTTGTAACCTGAACTTTATCACAGGCACATATGAATAGGAAAAAACCTAGTGTAAATCCACACTTTCAGCCATCCACCTGTATTTTATCAATGTGCAAGGATTACTCCAGAATTAAGGCCCTACCTCCAAATTTCTCAACTGCTTTTTCCACTGCATTGTTGATCTGCTGCTCATCTCTCACATCAACGATGCATGGCAAGGCCTTTCCTCCAGCTGCTTCGACTGCAAAGAGAAAGATTTCACCTTCCATTCAGATACAACAGTCAAAAAGACAAAAGGGCCTGAGGTTCACAAGATCAAGATAAATAGGTTTTGAAACCACTAGTAACTCCATCACTGACTAACCACACTCAGCTTCAGAACAGACAGGCCAACTCTACTCAAAACCAAAAAAGCTGGGTACTTTCAAAAAGATCTCTTAAAGATAAAAAAAAAAAAAAGAAAAGAAAGAAAAAGAAGGTAATTTAAGAAACAAAGGGCTGAAGGTATGGCTCAAGCAATAGAGCACCTGCTTTGCAAGCTTGAAACCCTGAGTTCAAACCCCAGTCCCATCCAAAAACAAAACCTTTCTATTATGGAAAATTTCAAAAACTACAAAAAAAATACAAAGAATAATTTAAAAACAATCATTGATCCATCACTTAAGTGATTATTACTGTTTTGCCAGTTTATCTTCCACTTGCTTTTTTTTTGTGTGTGTGTATATGTGTGGTACTGGGGTTTGAACTCAGAACTTCACTCTTGCAAGGTAGGCACTCTACCACTTGAGCAATACGTCCAGCCCTTTGTTTATATTTTAAAATAATTCCCAGCATCATTTTATTCATAAGCATTTCATGTGTTAACACGACTAACACATGAAATCACCAGGCATGGTGACACATGCATGTAATCTACACACTTAGGAGGCTGGGGCAGGAGGATCATAAGTTTGAAGCCAGAACCTGTCATTTTAAGAAGGGGAGTGGGAAAAGAAGAAGAAAGTGGAGGGGATGAACAAAATGGGGGGCACAATAGATGTATACATGGACATATACAAAGGTCACAATAAACCCCCCTGTATAACTATCATATACAATAAAAACATTTTAAAGAAAGAAAAAAACAAATTTGATGCCAAGCTGGACTACATAGCTAGACCTATTCAAAGAAAAAAAAAAAAAAAGGAAATCTTCTTTTTTTTTTTTTTTCCCAGTGGTGGTCCTGGGGTTTGAACTTAGGGCCTTGCACTTCCTAGGCAAATGCTCTACCATTTGAACCATACCTCCAGCCTTTTCAATTGTATTCTCAAATAGGGTTGGCCTTGGACTGATCCTCCTATTAGCTGGTATGACACCATGCCCAGCTTATTTATTGAGATGGGGGTCCTGTAACATTTTGCCGAGGCTGGCTTCAAACTGTCATCCTCCAATCTCTTCCTTTCGAATAGCTGGGATTATAAGCATGAGCACCACATTCAACTCTAAGATGAAATGTTTAAAGCCTTCCTCGTGGCACAGTGCCTTGAACATGAGCACATGATAACTATTCATCAACCTAAAATATTAAAATCATGACTTACAAAGTGCACAGAGAGTAAATAACACAGGAGCATTTTCAAAGTGTTCACACACACACACACACACACACACACACACACACACTTCAAATTGTCTCCTCTCCACTTCATCACACCCTCCTTTCAATGACCACTACCCTCCTAAAACATGAGTTTTTCTTTTTTTCGCGTGCTAGGGATGGAGTCCAGGGCCTTGTGCATGCCAGGCAAGGGCTCTATCCTGAGCCACGCCCCCAGCTCTGAGACATTATTTTTAACTAGGATCTCTACATAACTTGAAAGTGCTAAAGAAGAAAAATGGTCAGAACTCCTGCTCTCAGGTGATACAACGAGTACTTTTCAAACAGACACAATTATTTTAGGGTGGCTTTCAAATAGCTTACACTAAACAGCTATATAGCAAATTATATATTGAAACCACTGTGAGGACATTTCTTGAAAGGGTGAGTGCCACACTTACTTTCTTCAGCAGCAGTGTAAATTGTGCCTGGAAGTTTGGGGTGTGACTGGGTGGTCTTTGCAGCAATGACAATGTTCGCTCCATCCTTTGCTGCTTTCAGTGCAATAGCTTTGCCAATGCCACGGCTTGCACCTGTGATGAAGACTGTACATCCTGCTAGCTTCCTACAACAGAACAGATAGGACGTGTTTAGAAATACAACATTTTTTAATTTATTAACCACTATCAGGAGCTCATGCACATTTTCATATATACATGTTCCTTGCTCTGTGAGATTTTCTTACAGAAAAAACCCTGCCCTGCCCATGTGATTGACAGTTAATAACTCCACCATACCCCTGCTGCACAATGACTTATAAACTATTTATGACAACTGCAATTTGCCAGTATGCTGTGATCTGGCAAACAAAATCTGTTCAGATACAAAGTGAATCTGAAGAACTGATGAATGAATTAGAAGATACTACGTACATGTTCTTTTTCCCCATAGAAAATGTACTACACACCTGCAAACCTACTATTCAGAGATGGAGGTAGGAGGATCATAAGTTTGAGGCCAGCCTGCTCAAAATTATTAATATCCTATCTCAAAAACAAAATAAAACAAAAGAACTGTGGATATAGCTCAAGTGGTACAGTGCTTGCCTAGTATACACAAGGCCCTGGATTCAACTCCCAGCCCAAGGGGTAAGAAGGTATTTTTGGGGGGAGAACAATACTGGGGTTTGAACTCAGGGCCTCATCTGCTAAGGAAATGGTCTAACAACATTGAGCCATAGCTCCAGTCTTTTGCTTTAGTTATTTTTTGGGACAGGTCTTGCATTTACGCCCAGGCCAGCCTGGATGGGATCTTCCTATTTATGCTTCCCAAGTAGCTGGGATGACAAGCCCACACCACACACCCAGCTGGTGATTGGGTTGGGGTGTCATGAACTTGTTGCCCAGGCTGCCCAATCTCCAATTCCTGAATAGTTGGGATTACTGGTGTGACCCATCATGCCTGATTTTTTTGTTTTGTTTTGTTTTTTCTGTCTTTGTTTTTGTTTTTTTTGTGAGGCAGGGTTTTGCTATATAGCCTAGGCTGGCCTTGAACTCATAATCTTCCTGCCTCAGCCTCCCAAGTGCTGATATTACAGATGTGCACCACTGTACCCAGCTCCTTATCTTTGAGTGGTGGAATTATGTATAAATTTTTGTCATGTTCTTTAATACTTTTTTCTATAATGAATACATAAAGTTATAAAAATTTTATAATAAAACATAGGGGCAATTTAATGACTTTGAATTGACTGTGGTCTTTTAAACATGACATCAAAAGCACAAGGAACACAAGAAAAAGAGATAAGATGAGCTTCATCAAAATGTGAAACTTTTGCATATCATCAGGCACTATCAAGAAAGTGAAAAGAACCCACAGAAAGTTGCAGACCAGGAGAATTCCAAGATGGCGGCTAGAGGGAGGAAGCAGAAAGCGAGCCTCCTATAGTGAAATCTTGGAGAGACGCTGGAGACACACTTTGCAGGCATAATCACCGAGAAAAGGCATAACTTTGACCCCTCCACACCTCCAGCCGGCGCAGAGAATCTCCACTTCACGTTAAACGGAGAACCGAGGAGGCCCCGGGCCGCCAGTGGCCGGCGCCCATACGGCTTGGGAAGACGCGGACCAGGTGAGCTTCGCGGTACCGCGGTTCCCCCACAGACAAGCCTGGGCCAGAGCAGCATAGCCCCCTGGACAGACTGACCTCCACCCGGGAAAAAAAGAGAAACTGAGTACTAAGCAATAAGAACAGTTAAGACACGCTGGAAAGAGGGTGGGGCGCCCTGAGCGCTGAAGATTGGGGGAAGGGAACCCTTCCCGGGACTGTAAATAAACGAGCCGGGCGGGCCGGAGAGGCTCTGGCGGGAGCGGGGCGCGCCAGCAACCAGGAGCGGGGACGCTTGTGAGAGGAGGGAAGACCCACTTCCCACGTGAACTGTAAATAAACACGCAGGCCTGACAACGCGGGGCAGTGTCGCCTTTCCCAGTGCTTGGAAAGGGGAAAGCCTGTAGCAGAGGCCCCCGCACAGGAGAACTCTGAGCAAACAAAGCCTGTGGGACCAGGTGAGTGCTAGCTCACCCCAGAGATCTGCATAAATAACGCCGCCAGCTACAGGCTGAGAGCAGCAGGCAGGCAAGCCACAGTTGCAGATACCACTCTCAGAACTGCCTCCAGACGCTTTTTTTTCTTTTTCTCCCTACCTTTGATGAGAGAACAACCGAATTACACCTGCAAGCCGAAAAACTTACTGAAACTGTATTGCATTTGAACTGGGGACACTTGGTGGGGCTTTTTTTTTTTTTTTCTTCTGTGTGTGTGAGTGTAGTTTTGTTCTACTTTATGCATCCCCTTTGATGAGACAACTACAGAACAACATCTGAGGCACCAACTCCAGGACTGGAGATTGAGACGGACATCCAAATTATTAAGACTGAAATTGCATTGCATATAAACTTGGAAGTTTTTTGTTTTTTTTTTTTTTTTTTAATTTTCTATTTTCCATTTTATTTTAATTCATTTTTATAAATAGATATTACTTTCATATACTTATTTTTAATTTTTTTATCTTTGATTTTCAATCCTCTCTCTGTCACTCTATTGTCTGTTCAGTTTACTGTCGATTAGTACACTAACACTCCCTGTTTATACCTTTGAAACTCTCTTGTCTGATACCTTGTTCTGCTTTCTCCCTCTTGTCTGTATATTTGTTTTCCCCTTTTCTTTAACTTCTTGCTTTCCATCTCAGCTCACTCTTCCATTCTCAATATTACCATTGTTATTATTACAAGCTAGAAAATACTTAATTACACACAGTACAGGGACAGTAACAACACCAAGGACAATGACAGGAAGACAGAAAAAACAAGGAAACCAGTTTCCCCACAGCAAAAAATTAGTACAGGAACCAGAGGGGAATGAAGAGAACAGAAACTCAGAGCCAGACTCCAACAAAATGAAGATAAACTATGCCAAAGGACCCAATGAAGCCTACAAGAATAATTTAAAAGAAGACATACTACAAGTACTCAATGAGAATTTTATAGAGATGATACTGGATAGGGTCAACCAAAATGTACAGGAGACACTCAAGAAATTCCAAGACAATAAAAATAGAGAATTTGAAAAAGCAAAAGAAGAAATAAAGGAAACCATAGAAGCACTGTATAAACACCAAAGTGAAAGAGAGAACACAATGAATAAATGGATAAATGAACTCAGGACAAAAATAGACAACAATAAAGAAGAAAACAGCCAGGATATGGAAAACCTCAGAAAAAAGAACGAAACAGAACTGCAAAACAAAACGGAAGGCCAATCCAGCAGAATAGAACAAACAGAAGACAGAATCTCAGAACTTGAAGATGAAATGGTAATTAAAGGAAAAACTGAAGAACTATTAATTAAACAACTCAAGACCTGTGAAAAGAAAATGCAAGAACTCACGACTCCATCAAAAGACCAAACTTGAGAATCATGGGCATCGAAGAAGGAGAAGAGGTGCAAGCGAAGGGAATGCGTAATATATTCAACAAAATAATAACGGAAAATTTCCCAAATCTAGAGAAAGATATTCCCATACAAATGCAAGAGGCCTCCAGGACACCAAACAGACCAGATCAAAATAGAACTACTCCACGACATATCATCATTAAAACAACAAGTTCAGAAACTAAGGAAAGAATATTGAAGGCTGCAAGAGAGAAAAAACAAGTAACATACAAAGGTAAACCCATCAAAATCACAGCAGACTTCTCAACAGAAACATTAAAAGCAAGAAGAGCGTGGGTGAGATCTTGGGCACTGAATGAAAATAACTTCAACCCCAGGATACTCTACCCAGCAAAGCTATCATTCAAAATAGATGGAGCAATAAAAGTCTTCCATGATAAGCAGAAACTAAAACAATATGTGACCACAAAGCCACCATTACAAAAGATTCTGCAAGGGATCCTGCACACAGAAAGTGACACCCAACTTAACCATGAAAAGGCAGGCAGCACCAAACCACAGGATAAGAAAAAGCAAGACAGTAGAGAGTAACATCAAGTTAGGTACACACAATCAAACCTTCAAACAACTAAGATAACTAAATGGCAGGAATCACCACATACCTATCAGTACTAACGCTTAATGTTAATGGACTTAATTCACCCATCAAAAGACACCGTTTGACAAAATGGATTAAAAAAGAAGATCCAACAATTTGTTGCTTACAGGAGACTCATCTCACCGACAGAAATAAGCATATGCTTAGGATGAAAGGCTGGAAGAAGATTTACCAAGCCAATGGCCCCCGAAAACAAGCAGGAGTAGCAATACTTATCTCTGACAAAGTAGACTTCAAACCTACATTGATCAAACGAGATAAAGAAGGACATTCCATACTAATAAAAGGGGAAATAGACCAAAAGGAAATAATAATCATCAATCTGTATGCACCCAATGTCAACGCACCCAATTTCATCAAACATACCCTGAAAGACCTAAAAGCATATATAACGCCAACACAGTGGTTGTGGGAGACTTTAACACTCCATTATCATCAATAGATAGGTCATCCAAACAAAAACTCAATAAAGAAATCCAAGATCTAAAATATGCAATAGATCAAGTGGACCTAGTAGATGTCTACAGAACATTTCATCCAACCTCTACACAATATACATTCTTCTCAGCAGCCCATGGAACCTTCTCCAAAATAGATCATATCCTAGGGCACAAAGCAAGCCTCAGCAAATATAAGAAAATAGAAATAATACCATGCATACTATCTGACCACAATGCAGTAAAAGTAGAACTCAACAACAAAAGTAAAGACAAAAAACATGCAAACAGCTGGAAACTAAATAACTCATTACTTAATGAAGAATGGATCATCGATGCAATAAAAGAGGAAATTAAAAGTTCCTGGAAGTCAATGAAAATGAAAACACAACCTACCGGAACCTATGGGACACAGCTAAGGCAGTCTTGAGAGGAAAGTTTATAGCCATGAGTGCATATATTAAAAAGATTGAAAGATCCCAAATCAATGACCTAATGATACATCTCAAACTCCTAGAAAAACAAGAACAAGCAAATCCCAAAACAAATAGAAGGAGAGAAATAATAAAAATAAGAGC